TGTCTGAGAGACTGAGATGACCCTGAGAGGGGGCTGACCTAAAGGGAGTCAACCTGGAACAAGAGAGAGGTAACTTCTGGACAACTTCTCATCTCTCTCCTGGCCATGCCGTGCATGATATGGAACAGACCATCGGCCAGTTGGGGTCTCAGTCCTAAACCTGAGGTCGAATCCTGGGCTGGTCACTGGGGCTGTGCTCCCTCCCAGCTTCTCCTGCCCCTGCAGACACGGGCACAGCAGAGAAGCTGGAAAGTCCTTGACTGTCCTGGCAGCAGCTCTGCCCATCAGTGTGTGATCAGCTTCTCCTCAGCACAAACCCAAACAGCCTCACACTGGCTGCTGGGAAGAAAGTTAACTCTGTCTCAGCTGAAACCAGGTTTCCTCTGGAAGAAGACATTCGAAAACCCAAATTTGCTGAGACCTGTGACTGAGCACTGACTGATCCGAGGTGTCATGGGGAGAGGCATCCTAACATTTCTCAGAGACACCAAGTGTGATGGACACTCAGAGCTGTGGTCATGCCATCAGGAAAGACATATAAACGTAATAATAAGGCCATGAAGAAGAAACTATAACTTCCCTGTGTGCTCCAGACACAGAGGCAAGAAAAACTCAGCATGGAGCTCTGCTGTGTCGCTGAGTGCAGAGACCTGCAGGTCCTGTGCCTGTGAGCTGGTCAGTTAGAGAAGGACAAGGACAACCCCCATCCCTAGCCCAGCCCCAGCACAGTGAGCTCCATACTGAGCTCTTCCCAAAGACTGGGACCCAAGATTTTAGTTGAACACATTAGAGAATTTGAGAAAAATTGTTTTGCAGGGAGGGGATGCAGGTGTCTCTGGAAAAAAGATGCCAGGCATTGAGTAAAGCCTCTTTTTAAGGTGTCATGTATCATCAAGCAGAACTTTTTCAGCTGATGGAAGGAAGACTAAGAATGCGACTAAGTCCTCCATGGACATTGTTTAAAACTTCTTTCATTCCTTAATCATTTTGGTAGTGTGACAATTTGCATAAAGGTTATGAGTGTTTATGATGAGGGGTTATGCTGAGTTTGTAAGCACGTTGGTCTTCAAAAGCCTTTGACCAAGCTCAACAGGTTTTATTGCTCAGAATATCTTCACAGAGAAGCTCCTAATTTGGAGAAAATTTACATGGCAATTGCTCAGCAGTCAGAGCACCAGGAGAAGAGAGGTGTGGTTTCATATCCCTCTTCCAAGGACTGCTCGGATGTTTATTACTTTATTTGAAAAGTTTTGTTTATTTTAAAAGCTGTAGGCATCTGGAGCTGGTGCAACTGTCTTCCACCAGTGTGCTGCCTAGGACAGTCCAGGATGGATCAGGGGGACAGGTTAATGACATTTTTATCTGGCTTTTCACTGAATGACTCCACTGTTGAGGTCATACAGGTTTGTTTTCTGAAAAGCCAGTGTCTTGAAGGAGACTAACATCCACACAGGTCCTTGATTTGACTTGGAAATTGTGGTGCCTCAGCGCAGACAGAATCTGGGAAGCAAGGACCATGGTGCCCTGCAGGGCTCCCTGTCCTAAGGGACATGGCACCCTGTCTCCCACGGGTGCTGTGACTCCCAGCCTGGAGCCATGCTGTCTTGGCTCCCAGCTCAAGAGCTGTCCTGAAATCACTTCACCACGTATCCCCCCCAGCCAACTCTTGCCCAGGGCAGGACCACACAGACCTGTGGATCCAGTCCTAAAATACAGGTTCCTGCAAAGACAGCACAGCCAAAGGCCTTGGGGAGAGCCAGGGAACTGCATACCAAGACGGAGACAAGAAATTATGCTTAGAGAGCAGAAGGACATGCACGGAAGGAAACAGCTGGGTCCTGGGGTTTGGTCCCTGTGTTGCCTACTTATGGCTTTCAACATCAGCAGCACTAGAAGCGTTTCTTGGAAAAGCCTGGAGCTTAGCCCAAAAGTAAAATATTTCTAAGAATAGATATTCAGAAGCATTTTCCTGTGCGGGGGTGAGGCAGTGTCCCAGGTTGCCCAGAGAAGTTGTGGATGCCCCATCCCTGAAGGGGTTCAAGGCCAGGCTGGATGAGGCTTTGAGCAACCTGGGCTAGTGGGAGGTGTCCCTGCCCATGGCAGGTGGGTTGGACTCGATGGTCTTTAAGGTCCCTTCCAACACAAACCATTCTGTGATTCTATGAAAAGCAACCACTTGGCCATGCCTGCATTGAGTTTCATTTCTTCTGCTCACCTCCCATCATCTTTCACCTGCTCATGTCCTTGGAGGAAACCTCCTCCCTGCTGTCACTCAGCATCATCCTCCCCCAGCCGTCACTGCTTCCTCAAGATGCCTGTTTCCCGTAATTTCCTTTCTTCTAACCTTTGCTTCGATTAAGTCAACTGTGCACCATCTGGCAGGTTGATGACACTGGCAGTGCGACCACCCCAGCTGTGCGGCACCTGGCGAGTTGATGACCCCAGTCCCTATACATAGTGACCCTATTGAACATACCTGCCCCCCACCCCGGGCACCCCCCCTGTCTCCACTGGGAGCCATATTTTCTTGGGAAGCAGGAAAGTCTCGGTGGTGGTGGGTGCATCCCTGCGCACCCCCTCAGTCCCTCTCTGCTCCCCAGGGGCTGGTGTTGGGCCCATCCCCAAGGGCTGGTGTTGGGCCCATTCCCAAAAACCGGCACCCAGGGCACCAGGGCAAGAGGGATTTTGTGGGAGGGAAGAGGAAGCCACAGCAGAGGGGAACAGCAACTTTGGGGCTGCCCCATGGAGGAAGAGGGTGCAGGGTGCTGCTGCAGAGCACTGGCCATTTCAACCTCTGCAGGAGCTGGGGAGAGGGTTTGGAGGAGGAAATCTCCCGGAGATGACGGAATTGCAGATGCTGGGTGCCGATGCCCTGTGGCCATGTCCAGCTGCTGGCTCCATGGACTGGGAACAGCGAGACGCACCTCCCTGCTCCCAGAGCATGCCAAGGGCTGCACACAGCCCCCGAAACCCCAAAAGGTGTGGGGGCAGAGGCTGGGGTGCAATGGGGTGCAGCACCCCGGCTCGTTGGTCTAGGGGTATGATTCTCGCTTTGGGTGCGAGAGGTCCCGGGTTCAACTCCCGGACGAGCCCTGCTTTTGGGCACCCGTCACCTTCCACAATGGTGCGAGGGAGCAGGGCACAATGGTGCGAGGGAGCAGGGCATCACCCGGGCATGGTGAGGGAACGGCGCCAGCACAGAGGGGTGGGTGCCCTGTCCTGGCTGGGGAACATTCGCCTGGGCAGCACGGACCCCAAGGGCTGGCAGTGTGAGCCCCAGGCTCTGTGTCTGGGGGCAGTGGGGCAGTGGCGGGGGTGAGGGGATTTTCCCCAGCCCCCAGCTTTACCCCCAAGCAGGGGGATGTAGCTCAGCGGGAGAGCGCTTGCTTCGCATGTAAGAGGCCCTGGGTTCAACCCCCAGCATCTCCAGCTTTTGCCTCCCCACACCCCCTCCCTGATGGCTGTGGGCATGGCAGAGCCCCCCAGGCTCCCTAAAAAAGCCCTGGGAATGCCTGTGGGGGACACCTGGAATGCCCACAGCCCTTGCCCTCCCCTGCTGGGACACTTCCTGTCCCTTTCCCATGGGGCTCGGGGTGTCTCTTGGGGACAAGGTGGGTGCTGAGGGGAGCAGCAGGGCAGTAGTGGGGTGGTGGGTGGCCAAAAGCAGGGCTCGTCCGGGAGTTGACCCCGGGACCTCTCGCACCCTAAGCGAGAATCATACCCCTAGACCAACGAGCCAGTGTGCTGCAGGGGGGACACAGCCCCCATCCTGCCCCCACAGCCCTGTGGGGACCCTGCCC